TTATATCTGCGCCAGAGGCTCTCCTTTCCTTCCTGAAAAGGCGGCCCGGGTCTGTTCACCGTGAAGCGGCCCAGCCCTGAGGCCCGTTCTCCTCAAGCACGCCGGTCAATCGATTGAAGCCTGGGGAACCGAGCGATCGGAGGCTTCCCGGACTTCTCAGCTCTTCCGCCTGAGTCTCCTAGGAGGCGGGCAGCCAGCCGGCCAGCGATGCTGGGAGGCTGCAGTTGCCATGGAGACGCACCTGGCGCGCCTGCTTCGGTGGAGGTGAACCCTTCAGTTTGGGAGAAGGAGGCAATTTAGCATGATGGCAGCTCATTTATCACACTGGCTGGGGGTGTGAGAGGATGGGACGGGGGGGAGGGAGGGATGGGGTACTGCTATCTACAAATTTTACACATGACATGGCTGCTTAAAAACGGCTTCTCATCACATTAATTTGCGCCGTGCTCAGGAAGGGCATGGGTGTGCCGGAGGCTTAGGTAAGGCTACTATGTGAAAGCCATTAGTCGCACCCCTACAAAAAAACCCCGATTCCTCTCTTCAAGCAAGGCAGGGGAGAGAGAAGGGAGATCCTTGTTTGTTTGCATCCAATTCCAATCCGGCTATCCAGCCATTTTCCAACCATTTGCTCCCTTCCCCAGCAAGTCCCCAGCTCCTCCTGGGGGGTTCCCAGGCGCCCCCCCAGTTCCAGCGGAGAGATGCAGTCCCTCCCCAGCGTGTCCTGGGCCTCCTCGCCAGTGGGCTGTGGCTGGGAACGCCTCCAGCAGCGGGGAGGTGCCCAGAGGCCCCGGCCCACCTACGCCAGCTCCTCCCGATCCCGAGGGGGGCCGAGGACATCTCGGCAAGGCTCCCGCTGCGGACGTGCGCTACTCGACGATGTCCGAACCCGGGCTGCGGCGCGACGAAGTCAGAGCATCCACACGGCCAGAATCTCGCCAGGCTCCAGGCGCGCGACTCAACAACGAAGACACAAGGCCACAGGCCAGATCCCTTACAGCATTCAAGCAACGTTCATGCCTACAAGACAGCGTTGCTGAGGACACTGCAACAGACGGAAACACAGGAACGCACTAGGGTTCGATCAGGTTTGTGGAACGATCTGAAAGAATGTGCATCCGGTTCTTACACATTGTCTTGGTGCTGCCAGACCATCAAGACCTTAATTGCTGTGTTGGCTCGTCAAATAATCAAGGAGCTGGCTGTGGACAGATTCAACACTAGAGATAATGGCGTACAGTCCTACTGCAGTATCCAATTATGCGACAGGAGTCGTGTGCAGTAGGACACGCAGTAATTTGTCTCATTCTGTAACTCGGACAAAACTGGAAAGAAATATAAATGTTTTGGTTCGGAGAAGCTGAAAAACAAGAAAACCTGCTTGCTGTATTTGACGATCACCGTTTAAAGAGGTGTACGAATATGGGGCTCAGTCCCAAGTGTCGAGATGCTAGGCTGGGAATTACCTGCCTGCTAGATAGTGGAAACACTTGAGGAAAGAAAACGGTTTTGAAGAAAAATAACAGGATTGTGCTGGTCAGCTGATCTTAAATCTGCCTGCTATGGTGTGGGAAGAATCAAGGTTTCCCCGTCAGAATTATGTCTATTAAAAGAGCAAAATCTATAACTCAACATACCCAGAAGTTATTCTGTGTTGTTATTTGCTTGTCGGGACGAGCACTGTCCTCCTAACCCTCCTTCTGCAGCGAGGCCATCCATTAACTAGGAATATGACCCACGTCACCGGCTTCTTTCTGACACCTTGTCAATACGGCCAGCTGTTGTTACTGCACGTGCAGCGCCGCATTGTTTTCAATGGCAAGCTCAACCCTCCCAAATCAAATCAAAGTTTATCGATCAAGTGCACGACAATACGGCGTGCAGCAGTAGTTGCTGGCAATGAAATGTCTTTTTCTGCGAGCTCACAAGAATCACAAGAATCAAGGAAATCACGAAAATCACAAAATTGTGGTTATGACAATGAGGTTACATAATAATAGATGTAATAGAAATGGAATAAAACTCAATATGAGTCGAGCTGCTGTGTGTCCAGGGTGTGTGCAATATATACAAGTAGTGCAGTCATGCTGAATACAGTGAAAACTGTGTCCATGTAGCCATTACAGGTGATTAGTAAAGGAGCTGCAGGTTGTCTATTTAGCAGTCTTATTGCCTGGAGGTAGAAGCTGTTCTGCAGTCTGTTGGACTTGGACCAAATGCTTAGGTACCGTTTACTGGACGGTAGGAGGGAAAACAGTTTGTGACTGGGATGATGACAGTTTGTGACTCTTGAATCTTAAAGCCCGTTTTGATTATTATTTTCCTTGGAGAATTCAGAAATCGGCAAGGATTGACCAGCCCGGCTCACCGCTGCAAATACGACATCAGACGGTGGTGCGGCTTTTTTTTTTTGTTTTCAAAACCACGAAAAACTATCGAACATCTCTCCCCGAATAAAACCCGTGTTCATCTGCCTATGCGGTACCAGGAAAGCTGCCAATTCCTGAATCCACCCCAGGAGCGTAGCCTCTGGAAGGCCAGGGGAAACCAGAGTGCCCCAAGAAAGCTCAGGTGGGTGAACGCGCGGGAACATGCAAACTCCACACAGACAGGCCTCCGTACAGAATCAAACCACGAACCCAGGAGCTGTGCCATCTGCCTGGCCACTGCGATGCCCAATTAACATCGTGTATTCATTTCTACTTCAGATTGCTACCATCGAAGCGAACACTGTGCCTATGCACACCAAAAGCTTTCCTCGGTCAGATCCTCGGTATAATGTTTTTTCCAGACATTCATCCCAAATTCAGCCTTGCAGTTGTTAAAAATGGGCGAAATGCTTGCATCCATTACAGAAAAGTTAGAACGACATTTTGGTTACATTTCTCTGGGGGAATGGCTTTTATTCTGATTGTAAAGGGCATCATTCCGTTCGCTTTATCAAAACCACCTCAAGGGAAAAGGTCATCTCTATTTATGATGACTTACTGTAAATGTGAAATGCACTCATTAGCATAAGTGTCGCAGGAGAAAGGAATGTACCTGCAGGGCACTGTCCTGTCACAACATCCAGGGAAATAATTTGATTCATCTGATTGTTTGCTTTTCTTCGTTTGTTTTCATTTTGTTGCCAGATATCTCCGAAGAAATCTCTTCTTGCACGGCCTGCAGGGTGTGTACCGTGAGAAACCCCAGTGGCTCATCGGGCCAGAGCTCAGCCTGGGTTCGGACTAGAGATCACATGACTCTCCACTGAATGGGAGCCAGTCTATTGTACTTGGAGGCACAATATATGTACAATATGAAACTAATATCAATAAATAATTCTAATAAGTACAATTTAGAAACAATGGGGGCAGCTGGTATTTCTTTTCGCTCTCAGATCAGAATGCATTGACTTGGTTATGAGCTTCAGAAAGGCCACAAGTGACAGGAGGAGAATCAGCTCATGTAACGCCCTAGTCAGTACTGGTTGTACTGGGAGCAAACCACCACCACCAACACCACTCCCTTCCCACAGAAAAAAAGAAAGGCACAATTACACCTGATCTGAGAGGAAAGAGAAGACATGCTCTTGTAATATTATTATTATTATTATTATTATTTTTATTATTATTATGATTAAGTCCTTAAAGTTATACAGCGCATTTCTGGACACTCCACTCAAAGCGCTTAACAGGTAATGGGGAATCCCACTCCCACCACCAATGTGCACCTGTGCACCAGCTGAACAAGGAGAGGCAGCTGTTGGGTCAAACGTAACGGCCAACAGGGTGAGGAGACGCTGTGTGAAGGCCTGTGTGTTGAGGGTGCTGTAAGGGAAGGGAGGTTGTGTGTTTCGGAGACTCACGGTTAAGTTAAGTCTAACCAGCCAAGTCGTCAGTCAGCAGTGGAGATTCGGAGACCCGCAGGAATGAAATCAGCACACAGAGTGTTCTTCCAGAACCAGGGCTGGGCTGGGCACCACTGACCCAGGTCCTTCTGTGAGCACAGATCATCCCTGAATCAAATTAGGTTCTTATTGAGACCCTATTTTCCCTGTATCCAATTCCACTGCTCCTACGCTCTTTCACACAGAAGGCTGCTCATACAACAGCAGAAGACAGTTCAGCTCTGAAGACAAAAGACAATCCCTCTATCATTTTAAAGCTCTGCCCATAATAACCATGCTTCTTGTAAACCTCTAAATCATTTTGGATAAATCCAAATAAACTGATAAAAACATGAGGGCGACATGATAAACCAGCTGTGAAAATAATTGGTAGCTCCTGAATTAAATGTGTGAGACACATTTCTTTCCACACAGAAACACATTATGAAAAGCATGTCACGTTCTAAGGCCTGCAGAAGAAAACGAGAAAACGGTGTGTATACTAATCTATTCAACTAATCTGACCTGCACAGTGTGTACAGCTTAAAAACAACAGGCACGGGAAAGCAAAGGGATCTCTGAGCTGTGCCTTCTGCACAGAACAGGAAGTACAATAATAACAATTCTGGCTGTTATGATATTATAATAGAGCTCAGTTTGGGTGGGGAGAATACAAGCTTGAGGTTGCTCAGTGTTTAATTAGTGATTAAAGTTAAAAATATCCAAAAACCTGAT